CCCCCCCCATCTCAACCCAGAGTCACGGGAGGCAGGGACAGAATGATAAGAACTGAGGCCACAGCCCCACCAGTGCTGGAAGTGGTCACTTTATTGGTTGGAAAAAGAAACTGTGGTCAGCACAGGAGGGAGTGCAGAGGCCAGAAAGAGGGGAGGGCCGCTGGGCTGGAGCCAGATGGGCCAGGCAGGAACTTCCACTCCCTCATTCCTCAGGCTGTGGTGGCTGGAACTGGAAGGAGAAAAGCATAATAAAACCATCAACAACAATATCCACAATACTAGACAAGAGTACCTGCAGCTTAAATTCTGGACCAAAGCTTTGTGACTCCATCCATTTCCCCCCCATACTTTACCTTCTTGAGGCCCTGGGGCTCTGCCTGTACTTCTCTGCAGGTCCTGCACTCACATCTTCTTCTGCTTCAGACTATTCCTAGCACACACCTGGCTATCCCATGGTCCCTGCTGGCTGTGTGGCCTTCCCAAGGAGCCATCGCCATTTATCTCCCCGAGTCTTCCTACCACAAGGAAGTTCCACCAGGCCTCCATTCTTTGGGTTAAGCTGGGATTAGCTGATCAAAGAGGTCTTATTTATCCCATTTTATAAGTAAAATAATTGCAGCTCAGGGAGGTAAAAGGCTAGTTAAGTGTCAGAGCTGAAATTGGAAACTGTGTCTTCCTGACCCAAAAGCCCGGCCATGCTGTTGGCATTCAAGGAGGTAAGAGAGGGTTGGAATCCTTGGGGAGCTCTGGGCCCTAGGGAGACCGTGGTTCCCTCTCCGGCCCTGAAGGTCATGCCTTGAAATAGCAACTGTGGGGCCTTGGGCTTGTCCTCCCCTCTCTGGGCTTCAGTCTTATCTGTGCAATACTGGGTTCCACTGTGACCTGCCCGCCCCTTGGCTGAGAGCTCGTCAAAGGCAGCAGCAGATCAACAGTGAGGTTTCAACCACAGCGCGCTTTCAGGTCCTTGTTCATTCTGTTTCCTCGGCCTGAAACAGCCTCCTCACTGCACTTCGCCAGACTGGCCACCTTTCACTCACCCTTCAGGACTGGCTCAGGGTCACCCCTCTGGGAAGCCTGCTCCATCTTCTCCCCAGTCCTGCCCGGGTGAGGTTTTTCTTCTCTGTTCCCACAGCACCCCACCCTTCCCTCCAGTGCAGCACCGACCACAGGCACTGGGAGTGTCTGTCCATTTTCCGCCTCAGCCACTGGCTGCAAGCTCTGCGAGGAAGGGCAGGCGTCACCTGTCCCAGCACTTGGCACAGGGCTGGTGGCACAGTCCTGGGTCACCCAGTGGGCCAGCTGAGCATAGAGTCAGGTTTGGTTCTGCCATACTTCCTTACACTTACTTTAGGACTTAATATTGTTTTAATTATAGATGGGCAGAGAGGCGCCACAATCCTTTCCTTTTAGTGTCAGAGCCACTAGGGGTGGCCGAATATAGCCCCAGCCTGTTGCAGAAGAAGATCCTCAGTTAGCTGATCTCTACTATGTTCATCCTGAAAAGCCAAGAAGCTTCTCAGCAAAAGTAAAGATCAACTCTTCTGCCTCCCACTGGCCATGCAAAGAGCTTCCTATCTCCCCAGGGACCCCCCAGCCACTGTTCCCTCTCCCAAGATACAGCTGCTCCTCTAGCTGTTGCCTTATTTAAGCGCTGTGTTAAGGAAACAAAGGAGTAAATCTCTTTCCCTCATGGCGCAATGCATCGGCGAATATTGTCCCATTCACTTTCACTTCCGTCCCAAACCCAGCCACTGGTCTCTCCGGGTCTGACCTCCCGCCTGGCATCTTACAGGAGCCTCCCAGCTGGTCCCGCCTGCTCTGCCGCTCGCTGCCCCTACAGTCTGCTCTCTACACAGCAGCCTGACAAGACTTTTCAGATCTAAGTCAGAGCATGTCCGCTTCCAAGGACACAACATATTTGGGTCAACACCAAAGTCCTCAGGAGCTCCCCTGACTGTCCCACGAAGAAACCCCGGCAACCCTGCTCGGTGCCCACCCCACTCCCACCCCAGCACTCCTATCCCTCTTCATTTTTCCCTCCCTCCCCGGCACTCATCCCCTCTGACATGCTATGTTGCTCCATTTACTGTCCACTAGCTATACACCCCATCAGAGAGAAATTTCCATCTGGTTTGGTCACTCATGAAGCAGCCCCAGCACCTCCAGGAGAGCACAGCCCCTAATAGATGCTCAAGAAATATCTGTTGAGTGGGTGGCAGGTCCTCCTCCTCTACCTCCCCACAGGTGTCATTACATCTGGGCATCAGGGCACTTCCTTCCTCCCACCCACCTACCTCAGAAGACAGGTGTGACGCAGGACACCTTCCCGCAACCATTGAGGCAACATTTCATCTGGTCGGGACACTCGCTGTCCACCTTACACTGGTCCCAGCAGATGCCCAGCGGGGGCAAGGGAAGGTCCATCTTGGGGCAGGAGCCCGGCTTTTCTGCATAGAAAAATGAGTGAGGGGAAGTGAGCGGAGGGATATGCCAGGGGGGACACTTACCCACCGCTGACCTCCCACGGCCCTGGCCCTGGAGGATAGCCTGCAACCCCCCACCCCCCCCACCTCCCGCACAGGATTCAGTCCCAGCTCTGCCTCTGCTTAACGCTGTGGCCTAGGGCCAGAATCCCCCAGCGCCCCAGGGCCTCACAGGCGAACAGTGCTGCCCACCTCACAGGGTTGTTGTGAAAGTAACGGGGGCAACAAGCCTGCGCTGATTCTCCCTGAAAAGTCAGACTCCTTTGCAACGAGAATAATAATGAGTAATCAGAACAGTTCCCATTTACTTAGCTCCTTCTATGTGTCAGGTGTTATTCTAAGCACTTGATGAGTATTAACTGGTGTATTAACACATCGAATCCTCACAATAGCCCTAAGAGAGGGGGAGAGGTATTGTTGCTATTTCCTCATGTTACAGATGAGGAAACAGGGGCACCAAAAGGTTAAGTAATTTGAAAGCCAGGAATCTGGCTTCAGAGTCTATGTGCCATGCATTGTGCTGCTTTGTAAGCTGTAAAGTGTGGTGCACATGTGAGGGATTATACACCCACAATCTCTACCCACTCCCATATACTCCCATTTACAACCAGGAGCACCATGACCCCCACCCCCCATCCACGCTCCTCACCCATGTGCAGACAAGCATTCTTCCACAACACACACAGGTTGCAGAGATGTGCCACTTACAATGCTCTGTGTAAATCCATTATCTCCTTTAATCCTCACATCAAATATCTCCTCTGTAGGGGATATTTCTAACCGGTTCCTATCACGGATGAAGAAAATGAGGCACAGAGATGTGAAGGCATCACCCAACACACTGCTGGTCACAAGTAAAACCAAGACCTGAGCCCAGCCTTCCAACATCCAGGTTCTCTCTCTCTCTCTCTCTCTCTCTCTGTCACACACACACACCCTGCTCCACTTCCTGGGTCAAGGAGAAGGGAACCAGGCTCACTTCCCAGAAGCCCCAGGAGCAGGCCCAGCCAAATGTCAAACACAGGCACAGAGCTGGGTGACTAGCTGCAGAGGACAGGAGTGGCCAACTTCTTAGCACAAAGAAACCCTTTCCTTTGAAAAAGGCAGGGGCCTGGATGCCCGGATGCCCAATGGTTTACTGACAAAACAAGGCACTGTGTATAGAGTATTTACTCTCTACTAAGATATTTTACACACATTATTTTATTTAGCCCTTATGTCACTCCTATAAAGTTTGAGTGAGAGACAAGAACGCAGAGGTTCAGAGAGGTAAAGTGACTTGCTCAGGATCACACAACTAGCAGGTGGCAGAACCAGGATTCTAGTTTAGGAGGCCGCCTAGCCGTGGTCCTCTTCCTGCCTCAGTCTGTCCATCTGAGACAAGGGAACAGCAAAGACTCCACCTAGCAGCGGAGACTCCTCTTTTTTTTTTGCCCATCCACCTCTTTCATCTGTCTGCCTGCCTCTTGCTTTCTCTCTCGGTCACCATCTCTCCTTCTGCACCTCCTATCTCTGGTCCACATTAGAGGTCTCCAGACCCAGAAGCTGCCCCGATGGGCCAGTCCTTTCTCAACCTCCCACCTCCTAGATCATAACTGTCTGAGGTCTCTAATTACAAACTTTCCCAACCCTTGCTGGCATCTTTGGAGAAATAACAAAGTATTCTAGATAAGGGGCAGTGATCACAATAGTTGGTACCCCAGGTCATAGACCTGCTTCTAGTCCTCAGTTTTTCCCTGTGAAAAACCAGAAGCTTGGATTCCATGCTGTCTAATGCCACCTCCTGTTCTGATGGGAGTTTCACCGCCTAGTGGAGAGACTTGAGCTCTAGCGAGTACTTTTTATGGTGCACCTGAGCTTTCCCACACATTCTCTCACTCAGTCCCTAGAGTGGAAGAAAGAGGTTGTTGTAAAGATGAGGAAGGGGGAGGAGTGCTCAGGGGAGAGTCCTTCAAACCACTGGGACAAAAACTGAACCTCCTGGCTATGGCTCCTGCTCAGTCCAGGTCTGCGGTGTGACCTCAGGCAAGAATTTTTCTCTTTCCTAAATCTGAAGATTTCCTCTTGCCTGAATAGAGTAATCTGGGAAGTCTGGCCAGGCCAGGATTCCCAAGTCCTTCCCCTGGTGCTGGGGGAGGTCCCCGGGCAGGGGCTCCGAGAGGGATGAGCGCCCCAGGCCTGGGAACCCAGCTCACGAGCCAGCTCTGGGCTCCCCGGCGCCAGGACAGCGTCCCTGCTGTGGGTGCCCGGAAGCCCGTCACGCACCAGAGGCTGGAACACAGGCGGGGCCGGGGGCCCCCTCACCGCCCGCTGCTCCTCGGCGACGCCTTTGTGTGCCCAGGGTCGAGCCAGCGAGAGCACACACCGATCTGGTTCCAGCCGCCTCGCCTTTGCCAGGGGTGCCCGGGTCCCCGAGCGCCCCCTTCCTGGAACCGGGAGGCTCCCGCCTCCTCCCCGCGCCCCGCCCCGCGGCCACCGCGCAGTTACCGTTGGGTAGGTGGCAGACGGAGGAGCAGCCCGCCTGGCAGCACTTCAGGCCCTGGGCGCACTCCCCGTCCGAGCCGCACTCCCGTGTGCAGTTCAGGTCCCCCTTCAGCTCCGGGCACACGCCCGGCTTCTCCGCTCCTGTGCCTGGCAGGCGAGGTGCAGGACGGTCACTTGGAGGCGCGAGCCCCGGTCCCAGAGGATGCCCACCTCCTGCTGCCAGGACCCCAAGTCTCAAGCTTCAAGGAATCCTCAGTCTCTGGTCCTAGGCGCTCCCCTTACAGACTTCAGCGGATCCCACTTCCAGGCCAGGGGTCCCCAACACCGGGGAGTACAGGAGTTACCTAACCCTTGGTTCCAGAGCCCTCTAGCCTCAGGGCTCCCCCTAGCCCCCCCCCCAGCTGACTGTCTAGGAGCCACCGATGTGTAGGCAGAGGGTCCCCCTCTGCACACAGTCTTCGCCTTCAGCACAAAGCCTCTCTCCGCCTCCAGTACTTTGGACCCCACAAACTACACTCCACGGGGTCACCACCTTAGGCACCAGGGATCCCAAATTTCAGTCTTCCTGGGTGTCCCCACTTCCGCCCCAGGAATCCCACTTCTCTAGCCCGCAGGGAGGCGACGCCTCTGCGCAGCTCCCTCCAGGCCTCCCGGCCCGGCCTCCCTCCCTCCGGGCCTCCCTCCCTCCAGGCCTCCCAGCCGGCCTCCCTCCCTCCCGGCCTCCCTCCCTGCCCGGCCGCCCTC